GACAAAGTATTACGATTTTAAATACGGCATGTTCGATTTATAAAGACGATATTTTTAATTTGTATAAATATATATGAAATTGTATTATTAAAGTATTTAAATTATATATGTTATAAAAGTTTAGTTATATGTTGTATATACACATATAGTTTATGTAAATCTTTTTAAGGTTATTAAAATTTAATCATAATATTAAAATTTAAAATTGAATGGAATCAACACCTACTCCAAATAATGATTAAATAAAACCTTAAAAATCTCGACGATTGATTTAAAGTTAGATATAGTTTTTTTTAATGTAAGTAATTTTTTATTTATTTATTTATTTATGCTTTATTTGCACACCAAGAACAAAAAGGCGGACTTAATGCAACAGGGCATTCTCTAAAAAAAGTTAAAAGTTGCAAAGTTATAAATATCTATGTCTACATAATATTACCATAACACACACACACACACACACATACACACACACACACACACACACACACACACACACATACACACACACACACACAATCACCCTGATACTGAAATTTGCATTTCATATATTCAAGGACAAACGGATCGTGTAAAACTGAAAATAATGTGCCCAGTATTATGAAATATTTACAATAGCGGATAGGTAGCCATTTAAGCTAAGAACGATAGGAGGAAATGTGGTCGTATTTACATAAACCAAAAACGAAGCGTATACAATTATTAAGAAGTCGATCCAGTTTGTTTAGAAGTTCTTGTGACGCATCAGCATAGAAAACATCTGCATAAACTAGAATGCTTATTCTAGTGTGTCTGTATTAGCTTTGCCTTTGTCCCTAACGGTGAAAAATTCTTAAGACGCCAAAGGTATGAGGAGAACGAGTCCCGCACTTACGAAGAGAAACCCAGGTGACAAAGTATAACTAAGAGTATGTCATGATCGACAGCGTTTTCTGTTTCCTTTTTAATATAGGAAGATACTAGGTGAAAAAGACATGCGTGAGTGTCGTGAACAAATAAATGGATTACTAGCGTCTATTAAAATGAAGCGTCATTTAAAATAAAATAATATTTCGGTCATGGCAGGATAAGAAAAAGTGCGAGGGAGATGGATATTATTCCATCTCGCTCGCACTATAGAAGGGCGATCGTGACGGAAAAATCTTAAACTTTTTCTCGACTAGCCCCCATCCGTCAAATTCGTACCGTTCGATAAAGAACTTCGTTCCAAAAATATTGAATGTAAAGTAACGTCCGTTTAATCTACCTACATTTACATCTTTACCTTCAGCCGCCCGCAGAAGTCCATTCCTGGACAAATGCCTGTGCAAGATAAGGTAAGATTTGCCGCAATCGTCATGCGCGGATTTACGATCTCAGTACCAGACATCTCATTTTTGGGCACTGTTGCCTGTTGCCTGTCAGGATGCCTGGCGTAAAAGAGATGGTATACCCGTATATTGGAAGCTATAAGAATTTACAGGCATTTCTCAAAGCTTTATTACGTGGTAGAACCGTGCTGCAACTTTATCATAATTGTAGCACGAATGGGTCGACTCGACCGAGGAGGAACCACGCTGTCACAAAATATCAGCATAAAACAACAGCTTAACGCTGTTGCGTTTCGTATGGTGAGTGTAGAGAACCAAAGATCCTTTCTACTGGACACGAGGCATTCCATCTTAGTCCTCAGGAATAACAACGCATCTGGTGTGTAAAAAATAACTTTCATTGAGTATTATGTAATAATCCATATTGAATAAAAACTATTTAATTCTATTCTTTTATGCATTTTGAATCTTAATTATGGATATATGTTATGATATATGTCTATGGGCCACAGCATCAGGTGCAAAGTGTGCAATTTTCTCCCGACTTCAAAAAGGACACGGTACTCAATTCGACTGTATGTTTTTTATGTGTTATGCCTCATAAATTTTTTCTGAGTGAACCGATTTCGATGATTCTTTTTATCTGAAAGCTGGTGACTTTCATGCGGTCCCAAATAAATTTGATCAAGGTCTAATCAATAGTTTATGAGTTATTTTTAATAATTTATATTGAAGTCGGTTGTACAAAATTTTTAATTTTAAATTATGTCACCCCTATTATAAAAAAAGACACCCACGAATGAAAATTGGCTGATAGTGAGATCAGTAGGTTAAAATTAGAGTGAACATATTAATGATATATTTTATCGGATAAAATGTTCATCTTATGTTATGTATAATTCGTTTATGTTAAAAACGGCTGAACAGTTCAAAAAAAATTGGATTACGCATTTCAGGGTCTTTGAATAATGACACCACCTGTATATAAACGTGTCGATACTCAGTTCGACAATATATTACTTACGGATCACGAATCAGTGGGCGGCGACCGTCACGACTGAAAACAATATTGTTATGAACTTGGACCAATGGCATCTTCATAAACTATTTAATAATTGTACGATTTACATAACTAATTAACTGTTAGATGTATCATCACAAACAAACACACTAGTTAACAATAATTTATGATGTGTTACGTCATCGCTTTACAAGAAAATCTCAGAAACAAGTTAATAAAAATAATGTAAAGAAGGGTTAAGGAATACATAGATGTTAATGGGATGAGGCTATCGTTACGAAGGTCGGCACCGCACCTGCAATTCCCCTGGTATTGCAGTTGTTTATGGGCGACAATAGTCACTTACCATCATGTGAGCCGCAAGTTCGTTTGCCTTCTCTTTTATAAATTAATAAGCTATTTTTTAAATAAATCGGACAATTAATTGTATAGTGTAATTCATAATTGTAAACCGTTAAAAGTCCCGCTGGGTTTATTGCTAGGTCTTTCTAGATTGTTTCCGAGCCAGTGATAAATAAAGGCAATCAATTTTAATACTTATTATTTAATCTATATTGCGTTGTTTGAGCACGACTTAAATAGAGGCTTAAGAATAATTTACAAAAAAAAAGAGTATACTTTGAAAAAAGCCAATAGTGTTAAATTCACGGTTACATCTTGAGCATAACAAGAATAACAACACAATATACATAATATAAGGCCACGAAATAGACGGCCTCAGTATACACTGATTTTCAGTCCAATCCACACCTGGGACATCTCGTGCGAATTATTCTTACTGCTGCGGATATCTTCGTTACATTTCTAACCTCACAGAGACGTCTTAAAAGGAGCCCTCTCCGTTGTACGCTGGAATAATTTAAGCTTCCCCATACATTCGAGCATAGCTATATTGTGTATGGATAAGTTTGAAGGATGTTATTACGTGGTAAGCTACAGCTGTATAAGTGCTATAGTTGTAGCACGAATGGATCAGCTGGACTGGGGAACGATCACACTCTCACAGAATACCAGCATAAAATACCAGCTCACCACTACTGTGTTTCGTATGGTGAGTGTAGAGAACTGGAGACCCTTTTTACTGGAAACGAGGCATTCCATTTTGGTGTGACGGGTGACAACGTTTGTCGGTAGAAATCACTCCGCAATGAGAGCATCCACGACTTTTTCTGCCACCAGGGCGCCATCACTCACGAATGATGTGAAATATGTGACAGATTTCATAGCAGGTGAAGTTAATTTGTTAGAAAAGTTTGGAGACTAATGTTTCAAAGTGTGTGTTTTAAAAATAAATTTTTATTTGTTCGTATTTTATGCGCTGCCATACCGTTCATCGGATTGCGCTAAAACTTTGTCAACTTATTGCTTGCACTTGCGCGAAGGTTGTAGGCATAGTACAATTAACTTACAGTAGGTGGCGCGCATGTCATACCGAAAAATTTATTTTAAAGTTATGTATCATTCAACTTCAATGAACTATCATTTCTAATTGAACAATATAACTGTTCTAGATTTAAAATGATATTTCCACAAATATTTCTTCTGCGACAGCAATGCAAGCAAGCATGCTTGCGCAAAGGTTATAGGCATAGTACAATTAACTTACAGTAGGTGGCGCGTGTATCGCAAAAACAAAGGAGACAATCGTTTTTGAGCCCACTAGAAACTTTAACATAACCTAATTTTTTACACATAAAATAGATACCAATATATTATAGTAAGCGGCCTAAAGATTTTATGAAAATGTAACCGGAATCATAAAATCTGAAAAAAAAAGTTCTTTTGATATTCGTGAATTGGCTAATGCAATATGATAAAAAAAAAATGCGTATGAAGAAGAGCGAACTACTAAAAAATTTTTCATCAATCTTAAAGTACCTATAAATGCTGAATGTACTGTAGGTACATAGGTTGATAAAGGTGGTGTGATGTGGTAAATATCATGTGTGACCTTACATTTTATTTTTATTTTTAACCGACGTCAAAAAAAGAGGAGGTTCTGAATTCAACTGTATATTTTTTATGTGTTACTTCAGAACGTGTTTTTAGGTGAACCGATTTTGATGATTCTTTTTTTTTGAAAGCTGGTACTTCTCATGTGGTCTCATGTTGATCGATGTTTGACCAATAGTTTATCAGTTATCCTTAATAGTTTTATATTAAAGTCTGTTGTAAATTTTTTTTAATTTTACCACTTATATTATTTGTCAGTACATTTCAAGCTGGGATTTGCAGCTTTGAAGGCGGTTATTGTTAATTCCTGAGTCACATTAAGCTTCCGCTTGCTTCTGACTCTGGCTGGCCTACTAGATAATTCGACACAGGCTCCTAAGGACCCTCCCCTGTGATTGAATAACTTCACCTTATGCTCTACGGACTGTAGTCTTTTCTTATTGTATTTTTAATTCTTTAAATTAACATAAAATAAACACTCACGCCTGTCATCCAGAGGGGTTGGAAAAGACTACGGATTTTCATTTGGGACGATCCTGAGACACCTCTCTCGCCTCCTTCACATCCATATACCTACGCATCCATGCTCGTCGGTTAAAATATATCGCCAATTTGGTCGATAAACTTTCGTCTATGGCGTCCCATTCCGACTCTGTTGTTTACTTCTCTAAATTATTTTATCTTTTATATTATTTATTAAATTCTAATATACTCACCTAGAGGCATCACATGCCCGAAGTCATTGCCGTCGCCGACTCCTGAACAGTTCCATCTGTAGCCACTGAGTTGCTCCCGGCATTCGGCGTAAGCCATCCTGGAACAAAATGATTTTATGTAGGAGTCTTGTCGCTTACTTTATAAAAGTAGAACAATACATGTTTGATGACTCGATAATACAGCGCTGACTGAGGCGCTAAGAGCCGTAAGCCCGAATCCCGCACGGTACAAGTGTACGGCCTACAAATTATTTATCTGTTCACGTGCAATTAATGTTTTTATAATGAATCCGTGATAAAAAAAAAACCTAATATGGAGGTAATGTTTTTCTTTAAGATAAGAAAAAAAAAAGATTTATATAACCTACAAATAGATTAAAGCCTTGTAGTTGTGGTGTAAGAATATCCACTGCCCCATATCCTCCTGTGGGAGTCGTAAGAGAGGGAAACTGAAAAAAGGAGATGGGTAGCAAAATCTTTGTAAAAATCTAATCGGCTACCACCAGCCGTTAAGAAAATATTTTTAAAAGGTCGGCAATTCCCCTGGTGTTGCAATTGTTCATTAGCAACGGTAGTCAAATACCGTTAAAAAATCAGGTGAGTCGATTGCTCGTTTGATATCTCTTGAAAAAAGAAAATAGCAACACGCGCATCTTTGTTGCTGTTTTTCGTCGCCGGTATATTAAGTGTGGTATAAGCGACGTTGTTACTACACTCAAAGGCATAAAGATATTTCTGGCCTTACTTAGAAATGGGAAGATCAACTTGTGGCGCCACACTCTATTTATCTATGTAAATATTACGGATAAATTTTATGATTGAAGTTTTGGCGGGAACTTAATCAGCGGCAGATTGCCCCTCCTGTATTATTGTTTAATTAATGGTTTGAAGTGGATTTTGATATGTAAAAGTGTTGCGATTATGTGTATTAAGTGTCTGTGCATGTGAAATATTCGTGGAAACGAAGAAACAAGTGTTCAGATGGTGATGTGAATCTGAAGATAAGGTGTCTGTCTGCTGTATGCTTCTGCTAGCTCAAGTTGCCGTCAAAACCTCTCAAAAACTACGCAATGACGCATCAACATATCGTAAAGTAGTGTAATATAAATAATTATTATCACTTAATACTGAAAATCTATAAAAATGAAGGTCCCGAATGAAATAAACACATGGCTTAAAGGACAAGCATCCAAGCCAAAAATCTTAATAAAAATTATGATTGTGGGTACTTAGTTCAAGTCTAATTCTTTCGGGGATTCGAAATACTTTGTAATAATAATAATGTCCTCCAGACCGAATTTTGGTTACAACAGCCATTCTCAACGAGACTGGCCATCTGCGCAGGATAGACTTATAGTGCTCGAGTGTACGCGCAAGCAAGTACTACCTATTCCCTCACTCTCATAGTCCGATTGGACGGTAATCCGACATGACCGAAAAGAGAATAGGCGAAGCACGAAGTTGAAATACGTCAACTTCCTCACTTCGGGCGGCTACTGAGAACCTTTTGATAGAAAACCCCAGTAACTGATTTTATTTGTACTCGGGTTTCGATACCAGGACCTCATGAGTAGTAATAGCCTTTACACCATTAGATCAACGAAGCAGTCTGCATTCAAATACAAGTCAAATACTCTGTAACCAAGTTACCTTAAACCGTCTCCAACTGCCGCGATAGCGGCTGGCGATGAGCGGCACATGGCGCGCTGCTTGTCCGTCAGGCCGGCCACTCGAGCGCACACTAAGTGTGCTCCAAGCGATACTCCGCCAGAAACGCTACCTCTGCAACAAGAAATTTGTATTTTAGTAAAAACACTCTCACAGAATACCAGCTTAATGCTGCTGTGTTTCGTATGGTGAGAGAATAGGAGACCCTTTTTGCTGGACACGAGACATTCCTTCTAAGCCCTCAGGGGTGGCAACGCATCTGCGTCTTGATTTTTAATCGAGGATAGATGTCTATGGGCAAAGGCATCCACTTACTATCAGGTGAATTGTGTGCTCCTTTGTCATCCTTATTCCATTAATATTAATATTTTATACGTGGTAAAGCCATGCTGCAGCTATATTAATATATAGTATAGTTGTAGCACGAATGGGTCGGCTCGACCGGGGAAGGACCACGCTCTTACAGAATACCAGCGTAAAATAGCAGCATAATGTTGCTGTGTTTTGTATGGTTAGTGTACAGAACCGGAGACTCTTTTTACTGGAAAAGAGGCATTCCATCTTAGTCCTCACGGCTGACAACGCATCTGCATTTTAATTCGCAAACGAAGATAGATGTAGATGTCTGTGAACCACAGCAACCACAATCAGGTGGACTGTATGCTCATTTGTCATCCTTATTCCATAAAAAATTTAAGTGTTTTTACGTGTGTTCGAGTTTTATGTGTCAGACCCATGCCGGTAGTTGTTGGGAGCATTATGCGCAAAGTTCTTGATATAAATGTTTACCTAATTCAAATCTTCCGTCTAGGTTTGTCCGAATTCGACCAAGAGGTCAAGCTGTAGGTCCAATTCGGCTGGTCAGCATTCCAGAGATTACAACACGTCTCTTCAGGTGTTCTTTAAAACTTGAAAACAAGAGTGTGCAAACCGTTCGCATTGTCAGCAATTTCATATCAATTAGAGACGTGGTCCCTTACTGCTCGTCTAAGAGAAAGCTTAAAGTCATTCACGTTATGGAGTGGGCTATGCTTGGAATTACTCTGCTTGATAGAATTCGTAATGAAGATATCCGCAGTACAACTAAAGTAAGAGACGTAGACGAACGGATCAATAAGTTAAAGTGGCAATGGCTGGCCATATAGTCGAAGACCGACATCCAATGGAGATGAAAGGTTCTCGAGTTGCAGACTCGTACCGATAAACAAAGTGTAGGCTGGCCCTCCACGATTGTATGGTTTATATTTTATGGAAAACGCGCCGCTATGCCACACTCCTTTACTAGAAAAGCCTTATTGAAAGCTCTGCTAAGGCTTTAAGATATTTTAATCTACACATTGGCAATATCTTAGCTACGCCATAAATTCTTCTAACTAGACATTAAGTAAGATATCACGCGTGCGCAGACACAACATCGTAAATAAATTAACATAACAAAAGAGAAACAATTTATGTGGCAATAAATTATCCAGTTCGAGGTTAGTCGCGGATTGAATTTAATTATAAGTGCAATAATTTATAAATATCAATATCCAGTAGAATGGATTTTCTTGAATTAGCTTGTTGCGTGAATATCCTTGTATAAAATAGATTATTAATATTATAAATATGTTTCTAATGGCAAGCCGTGGTAGATCAGGGCCAGGGTTTCCTTATTAGTATTTAGATAGACGACTGATAGTTACGTAAATATGCTGTTGAGGCCTGCAGCTAATTCTTCTTATTCCCAATCTGATGAATTAGCTACAAGCCCTTACTCAATGTAAAAACTCAACCAACTTTGTAACAACAGTTTCATAAAGTAGGAAATAACTTTTAATTAAAAAAAATAAGTTAAATAAATTTCAATAAGCTCCTTTCATTTCATAGCATCCAGCGCAGAGCGATTCGAATCGTCAGCGACCGAGTTCTTCCCGATCGGCTTGTCTCACTGGCACTGCGAAGAGATGTTGCATCTCTTTGCGTATTTTATCGCATCTACCACGGGGAGTGCTTTGATGAATTGTTCGGACTAATTCCAGCCCCTCAATTTCAACATCGTACATCGCGACAAAACTCGCGATACCATCCATACCATCTGGATGATTGGCGGTCCACCACATTGCGATTTACATAAAGTTTTCATACTCACACAACTTCTTTGTGAAATCGTCTACCACCAGCAATTTTTTCGAACGGATACGACTTAGGGACCTTAAAGAAAAGAGCCTACACTTTTTTCAAAAGCTGGCAACCCACCCCTGGGTGTTGTTGATGGGTGGCAGTAATCACTTACTATCAGGTGAGCTGTATGATAGTTTGCCCCCTCATATTTAAAAAAAGAACGAATTGCATTGAAATAATAAAATGATTAGTCAATACTTTAATTTCTGTTCAGTAGAAGGCGTGAGTGTTTATGTTTATGTATGTAGAAGTGTAAATAACAAAATCAAAGTTAAAATTTCGAGGCAAGGAATGTTTGATACAAAGAACAGTTAAGTTGCGAAATATTTCTTGTTCGATAAAATTTCTAAACTAATTTTTTATCTATTTTAACTTTGAAAATGATCACTCAGCTACGGCTAGCTGTAGTCACAGGAATGGTAACAAATATCTAAAATACAGTGTTTTTTGTTATTTAGTAGGTACCTTTCTTTATTTGCATATGCATTTAGTCATCATCATCATTACAGCCCTTCACAAGTCCACTGCTGAACATAGCTTCCCCCAAGGAAGGAAAAAAAAACACGGTCTTGAGCCCCATCCTGCATCCATCGACTTCCTGCATGTCTTACCAGGTCGTCACTCCATCTAGTGCATTAAGTAAAAAACAGTTATTTTGACATAACAAACAGACACTTCAATTTTATTAATTTAGTTAGAGTTTAAAAGACAAGAATCGTTGTCGCCATGTTAGGCAGGTGCTTTACAGCAAAAGATGTCTCGAACCTTTAATTAACAGGGCCGGGTACTTATTTGTGCAATTTTAGTGAATTGTTATGGCCAACGCTTGTATGTATCGGCTCAACTGTAGAAGGACCACGCTCTAACAGAATACCAGCGTGAACTTACAGCAAAATGTTGCTGTGCTTCGTATCGTGAGAGACGAGAATCAGAAAGCCTTTCTAATTTAAATGCGGCATTCGATCTTAGCCCACTAGAGTTCTTTTATAGGATAAGGGTGACAAGCGAGCACAGAGTCCACATGATGGTTGTTGCTGTGGTTGCCCATAGACATCCACATTTGCGAATCAAAATGCAGATGTGTCAAACCGTGACGACTAAGATGGAATGCCTCGCTTCCAGTAAAAAGGGTCTCCGGTTCTCTACTCTCACCATACGAAACACAGCAGCTTTTGGTTGCTATTTTATGCTAATAATCTGTGAGAGCGTGGTCCTTCCCTTTCATTTTATGCCGCTATTCTGTGCAGGGATGGTTCTTCATCGGCCAAGTCGATCGATTCATGCTGCAGCCGTAATACGCTGCAGTGTAGCTCTACCAATTAAAAAACCGGCCTTAATTTACTCATTTAAACCCTTGTCATATTATTACGAATAAGCAGTGATAAAGTCCCTACCATAATGGCTTGGTAGTGAAAGCTAGGCGTGGCAGAATAAGGATGGGAGTAATTTGATGCAATAGGGATGAAGTCATTAAGAATTATGTGAGATGAGAATCTAATAAATAATAATCTTTGAAGTAGTATATGGTTTCCAAAACGTTGTTACCACGAATACGTAAAAAGAATGAATAAAGAAAGAGTGACATAGCAAATTATACTGCAGAAATGAGCGGCAGAGTAAGCAAGGGTCATTCTAGGTCATTTCAACCAAATTGGCAATTGAAGATGGTTCAAATTAACAGTACCTTGAACTGACGAATATGTATGCGTAGATATATGAATATGAAAGAAGCAAGAGAGGTGTGTAAATGCCGTACCAAATGGAAGTCAGTAGTCTCTGCCTACCCCTCTGGGTGACGGGCGTTAGACTTTATGACGTATCCGAATTCGACTTCGAGTTAAGTTCGAAACCCACGACTCGCTCACAGTTTATCAATGTGGTCAAACCATGAAATTGTCCAACGAGGTTTATAAAATACTGCACACAACGATTCACCATGGTCAGAGATCCCAACAATACACCCATTGTCCACGAAACTACGCAAATAGTCGTTACAAACCAAAGTTCCGTTGCTACCTAAAATGACATGCTGACAATAGAACTTCCGACGTAATTGAACTACAAGCGGTGGAAAGAATTGCTGTTGAAATGATTAAAAAAATATGGAAATACTTGTTCTATGTAGTTATTTGTTTTATTTCAGATCATTTTAGCTGACTTCTAAACAGGAGGAGAAATTCATGATGCACTATACCTTAGCAGCACCTTCTTCAGACGTTAATAAACGAGTATATTAATGTGATTATTATTGTTCATTTTTTTTAAATTCTTATATAGTCGAATCTTTTGACTCTTATTCTGCCGACTTCTATAAAGGAGACGGTACTCAATTCGACTGTATGTTTTTTTTTATGTGTATTGAATAAGCAATCGAGCGGAACCAGGGATCCTAAGTCTTTGCCAGAGATCTGTCTGCCAGAAAGAGCCATGTGGTCTCGTATAAATAAATTGATCAAGGTCTGACCAATAGTTTTTGAGTTATTCTTTTTAATTTATATTGAAGTCGGTTGTAAAAAAAATCAAATTTTTGCACAAGTGTTCGTCTGAATACCACCCTCATTACAATTCCTCCCTAGAATTTTTACGCTGTAATTCTGTGCATGCATGATCCTTTCCTAGTCGAGTTAATCCAGACATGCTGCAGCCAATGGCTTGCTTAGAGAAAGGCCACAAGTGCACGAGCGGTCAAAGGGCGTTACAAGCGACACTTATTTTATATTTCTGAGCTTTTTTATTGAAGAAGGGTGACAAACGAGCACACAGTTCACCAGATGGTAAGTGAATGCTGTGGCCTATAGACACTCCTGAGTCGTTGTCACTCCTGAGAACTACAGTAAATAAGGTCTCAGGTTTTATACACTCACCATACGAAACATATCAGTATTAAGCTGCTATTATGCCATTCACTTTTTTGGGAGGACATGATCCTTCCTCTTTTTCGTACTATAACC